CAATCTTAACTTGGAATGTATCAAATAAATAACAAAATAGAAGTTGAATATGACACGCAATTTTTGTTTTCTATAACAAGTAATTGTAAACTTGATTCAATTTTTGTTGTTTCAATGTTTGAGTCGTTTGTTGTTTAGATATATAAATTTCTAGTACCAGTGTTAAACAAAATCACGGATTTACATTTCATCACACGTTTCCGCCATTGTGAGCCTCAAGGAATAGACCTCATCATTATCCCTTTAAGATATGGCTTTAGACTCCATATTTATAATTTTTTTTTGAAAACGGTGTGTGTAGTATGCCCAAGCTAAATAATAATTATTTAAAAAAGAATTAAATAAATAAATGTTCATAAGAAATTGAGAAGTACGACCGTAAACGAACCCAACGTTCAACGAATAATTCATGAATCGTTTGGCTGGAAGTTTGTTTATGTTATTTGTTTAATAAATAAACAAATTAAATGAACAAACATGAATACATATTTTTTGTTCGTTTAGTTAAATGAACGGACACAAACAGTGATCTCATTCGTTCAGTTATGTTCGTGAACGTTCATGATATTCGCTTATATTCATTTATTTATGTTAGTTTATTATATTATATTATACAATTAATGGGTGAAAGTGAAGTTTTTCGGTGTGGTTCAAGTTTTGCAACTTATTGATTTGGTAAATGTTAGTACGAACAACATATTAGAAGTGTTGATATCAAGTTTTATAATTTTTGATATGAATGCTGATTTATATTTTTTATGTTTGATAATTTATGATCGTTATATTCGTTCATTTATCATCTTAACGAATATAAATGCATGAACACGAACAAGGTAATTTATTAAATGAATGAACTCGAACAAGAAATTTCATTCATTTATCCTTTTGTGTTTATTTGTTTGTTCGGTTAACTTAAATTAACGAACATGAACAAATGATTGTTCGTGTTCGTTTGGTTTGTTTACGGTCTTTTAAACTAATATTGCAAAAATCAACTTATTTATGGGGACAAAAAACAACTTCACAATATGGAATAACAAAAAAAACAAATAATATTAATTTGAGAAAAATAAGACAAGGATAAAATAATTATTTTACAATGATTACTGACAAGTACCGAAACAAACCAAACCACGATATGAGAAAAAATTCAAAGACGATAGAAAACACATGGACAATGAGTTAATGTAATTTATAATTAAAAAGATACCATAAAATCAAAATTATAACAAAAAAATTATTTTTTTTAAAACATCGGTGTTAATATTTATGATTGTATAACAAAAAGTAATTTTGCAATTTTTTAAACATCGGTGTTAATATTTATGATTGTATAAGTAAAATAAATCTATAGCTATAAGGGTAAATACCACAAGAAGTCATTAAGTCTATATGAAAATTCGATTTTGACACTGTCTTATTTTTTGTCTGAAATTGGACAATGTGTTTCCATTTTGTTATAATTCTGACCACTTGATCGGTCAACCTGGTTGTCTACTGACGTGACATAATGATGTGTCAGTTCTGATGACGTGACATGCTGACTTTTCAAAATTGAAAAAAAAATACACAAAAGCACTAAGTTTTCACTTTTTTCAATTTTGACACTAAGTTTTAAATTTTTTTTTAATTTTGACATTCTATTTTTTGTTACAAATTGAACATTATTTTTTCCAATTTTGTTCAGTGTTGTAATTTTCTATTTGAAACTATATAAATAATTTTTTTTATATTTGAAACTGTATAAATATATTTTTTCATTTAAAACCCACATTTTTATATAAAAATACAAGGTTCTTTTACATTCAAATCATAATGTTGTGTATAATTATGTATTAGTTATATTATAACTATATTTTTCATTAAATACACAACTTTAAAATTAGTTTGAAGGTGTGGAATGCACAGTCAGATAAACTAATATGATATCGAAAACACGTATATAATGTGATATCGGAAACATGAAGGTACGGAGATCGCTTTAATTACCAATGAATCGTTCGTAGTACAAGCTAAATACATCAACTTTATAAATAACAAGCTAAATATGTAATAATTATATTATAGCCATATTATATTATAACCGTACTTCTCATGCATTATTACTATGTTATAAGTTTTTCCAACAAATCTAGAAATATATCTACAAAAACCAAAATCATGAATATATACAAAGAACGGTTCATTGGTAATTAAAGCGATCCTCGAACCTTTGTATTCCCAATATCACATTAACTTATCTAACTGTGTTTTCCACACATCCAAACTTATTTGCATATTTAATAAAGACAAAATTGCAAAAATGGTCCCTGTGGTATGCATTTTTTTTGGGGTTTTAGTCAAAACCTCGACTTTTTTGGATTGATGGTCCTTTAAGCTAATTTACATGCAGTTTTGGTCCCTGCCCAAACTAAAAAGACTATTATACCCTTAATGAATTTAATTTTTATTTTTCTTTCACTTTTTAAAATTATTATTATTAAATATGAAACCGGGTCCACCTCTCTCTCTCTCTCGCTCTCTCTCTCTCTCTCTCTCTCTCTCTCTCTCTCTCTCCGTCATCATCAAGAAACCCTCGTTTTCCATTTCACTTCAGTGGGTTCTCTACATCCCAAATCATTCACTCTTGTCCACTATGT